CCCCCCCCCCGCCGCCGCCGCTGGCTGCGGGGCCCCCTTGCAGGACAGCCCCTCCTCGCAGCCTCCGGACCGCAACGGTGGTGTCGTTTTTATCGTCGTCGTCGTCGTCGTCGTCGTCGTCATCATCATCATCCGGTGCAGCGGCGGCGGAGGCGGAGGGAGGCACCGCGTCGGTGTGGTCCTCTTCGCAGGACTTGGCCCAATACACCATGGTCGCCAGCGCCAAGGGCAAGCCGAGACCGTACAGGCCCAGACAGGTGGCGGCGATCATCTTGAAGCGTAGGGGGCGCGCAAAAGGGGGGGTGTAAGTTGTTTGCGCAAAAATTTCCAACCTCTGGATAGCAGGATATTGCATGCCAGAAAAAATACGAGTTGACCCTTCCTATTCGACGCTTCTGATTCCCGTCTGTGAGCACGCATCTGGACATGGAAATCCAACATAACATAAAAAACGATTACCACCAACCACCCTCCATATCACACGCTTCTGATTCCCGTGAATGTGCACGCATTTGACATCTGACATCCAGTATGACATAAAAAATGATGTCCACCAATCACCCTTCACCTCGTAGGACTTGTGGTGTCCGGAGGAACACTCGACGGTCGTGTCCGCCCTGAGCCAGCTGCCTTCCCCATCGTCGTCGTCTCTATTCCCTTCCCGGCAATCGAACACTCTCAGCAGCACCGTGCACACCACCGGGTACAAGAGGAGGCAGACCTGATAGACAAGGCCACGCAGCGTTGTTGTTGTTGCTGTTGTTGTTGTTGTTGCTGTTGCTGTTGCTGTTGCTGTTGCTGTTGCTGTTGCTGTTGCTGTTGCTGTTGCTGTTGCTGATGTTGATGTTGTCTCGCAACACCACCTCCTCGGGAAGGCTACCGTTCCCATTGGTGATGCATTGACCATTCCACAGCGAAAAGGACGAAAGACTGCTCGAGCACGACGCAACCGCATCATCTTGTCGACAGACGTCGCCACAAGGACGGCTCACTGACACTACTAGCAGAACCAACACAAACGATTGTGGGCAACAAACTCACTCCAACCAAACGCTGGTTGTCGTGATACAATGAGCTACCTACCGCAGCAGTAGCAACAAACGTGCGTAGAGAAAAGAAGGACATCGCACGGCATGACACCACACGATCGCGCCGCATCGTAGAGTCGCAGAGCCCCCACTGTCGCCCCCCCCCGCCCCACTATCACTGCCAAGCAACAAACATCCACCCTCAATTTTCGTGCTTCATGATCCGAACGCGTGAGCACGCAGCCGTGATTTGTTAGTTCGCATCACTCGATCATTCTTGGTGATGCCGTGTGTATGAAGGGTGTGACGATCGTTCTTGTCGAGACTACTGTAACAGAGGCGCTGACAAGAGCGGAGTACCACTCGTTGACCTTCCCCGCCATGAGAGTTCCCTAGGAATTTTTCTGCCCAAAGATCTAATAGGTTGGGGGCTCACAATCAGGCAAGAGGTTTGCAAGGCAAGAGGTTGCACGTGAAGAGGCTGCAAGGCAAGGGGCTGCGAAGGAATAGGCTGCAAGGGAAGCGGTTGCACGTGCAGAGACTGCAAGGCAAGAAAGAACAGCTCACCACCACAGCGGCGCAGGTGTGTCTCTCAGCAGCGCTCCAGCGACCCCACCGCTCCCACGCATCACTTCTCAACCTCCCGCTGCCGCCGCCGCCGCCGCCGCGTCCGGTCTCCACCTGAACAGAGGAAACCGGAGCATTGTCGTGCCGCCCCCCCCGAGCACCCTCGCCCTGCCGCACGGAAGCTCCCTTGCGCACTGGATGGTTCCCGTTGTTGATGCCGTTGTTCTCCCAGTCGGTGCAGAAGCCGGCCAGGACGAAACTCAGGAATAGCGCGACCAGGTTAACTGTCAGGAGGCCGACTGTACCGTTCACGCTGATTTCGGGGGCAAGGGGGGGGGG